TCCCTGAGAGAAAAGAAGAAAGAGCAAGAAGCATGGAAAATCTATTTGAGGGAATTACTGAAGAAAACTTCCCTGGTATTGCCAGACATTCAGACATCCAGATACCAAATAGTCATCTAACACCAGGAAGATTCAGACAGGACATCTCCAAAGACACATAGTCATAAACCTGGCCAAAGTCAAAATAAAGGAGAAAATTCTACAAGCAATAAGACAAAAGCAACAACTAACCTACAAAGGAAAACCCATCAGGGTAACTGCAGACATCTCAGTGGAGACCTAATAAGCCAGGAAGGATTGGGGCCCCATCTTCAGTCTTCTTAAGTAGAACAACTATGAACTTAGAATTTTGTATCCTTCAAAAACTAAGTTTCGTAATTGATGGAGAAAATAAAATCTTTTCCAGACAAGCAAACACTAAGGGAATTCATCACAACCAGACCTGTGCTGTAGGAAATACTCAGAACTGCATTATCCGTGATCAGCACAATAGATACCCACCAGTGTAAAATCACCCAAAAGCTAAACCTCACAGCTCATGTAAACAATAGCACAAGAGGGAAAACAAAGCAATAAGGATACTACTCAACATGAACAGAACAGCATCCCACCACATATCAGTTCTATTACTCAATGTTAACCGTCTGAATGCCCCACTCAAAAGACACAGGCTGGCTGAATGGATGAAAAAACACATTGTGCAACCATCACTACCATCCATCTCCACAACTCTTTATTTTGTAAAACTCAAGCTCTACCCATTAAACTCTCCCCATGCCCCTTTATGCCCCAGCTTCTGGAAGACATTATCCTATTTTCTGTCTCTATAAATTTGACTACTCTAGGTACATCAAGTAAGCAAAATTATACAGTATTTGTCTTGTGTCTGGCTGAACATAATGTCCTTAAGGTTCATCCATGTTGGATCATATGTCAGAATTTCCTGTTAAAAGCTGAATAATATTACATTTTATATAGATAACATCTCTTGTTCATCTGTCCATCCATCAGTGGACACCCGGGTCACTGCCACCTTTTGGCTATTGTGAATGCAGCTGCTACAAACATGGAAGTACAAATATCTCTTTGAGACCCTGCTTTCAGTTCTTTTAGGTACATACTCAGAAGTAGAATTGCTGTATGAGATAGTATCTAGATCCTTCTTTTAACTCTCCCTCTGCTTTTCTTCAACCCCTGACTGATTACTTTTTCCTTTTAGGGGTTTAAAAGTCCTCATCCATTTATTCTTTAAATAACACAGTAAACCCTTAATTAAGATTGTGTATAGAGTATGGTGGTTATTAAATTTCATGGCTAAATGGCCATAAACCCTTTTGTTTCAATTTTTGCTATTGAAGAAGTATGTTAGTTCATTTTATTCTCTTAGTAAGTACAGTAAACATAATAGAATCTCTGTAATTCAGGATCTTGCAATGCTTCAGGGCTATCATTATGAGCGTGGATTCTCAGCATAATATACCACAGCAGTAAGTTATTGGAGATGAGGGCAATGCACCAATGCCTCTGGACTCTTTACCAAATTAAATCCTTCATATGAGTTTTTAAAAAATTATTTGTGTGTATAACCAAATCAATATAGTATTACATAATAATTGATATTTGAAAGGTAGTTACTCAACTTTTTGATGTGGCCACCTTTTCTATATTTTACTTCTCTGTCTTCTTCACATCTGTATCCTCATGTCACTAGATAACCTAGAGCTAGGCAGTCAGCCTAGCTCTGAATAAACACACTTAGTAGGTGTACCTTGTAAAAGGAAATGGAATTTGGAACGCAGTACACGTCGTCCTCTCCCAGATGCATTTCTCTTTCTTTTTCCTCGAGACAGGGTCTTGCTATGTTGTCCAGGCTGTCTCAAACTCCTGGCCTCAAGTGATCCTTTCTGCCTCAGTCTTCTAGAGTTTTGGGATTACAGGCATGAGCCACCATGCCTGGCCTGCATTTCTCTTTCTTTTATTACATGTTTTGGTCAGTTCAGGCTGCTATAATAAAATACCTCTGCTCAGCGGCAGAGGTTCATAACCATGCCATTTGTTAGTTCTGACCTTATTCCAACTCTGCCTGACAAGTAGTAATGCCTTCTTTTACATATATAAAGAAATGAAGATACCTGGTGTATTTTAAACATAGTTCCCCAAGCATGTATTACTAGGTTCTTCTAACTTGTATTTTTAATCAGACCATAGAGTTTGCATTATATATGTCCAGCTACACAGGTTGCGTAGCTTAAACAACAAACATTTCTCAGTCTAGAAGCTGGGAATTTCCAGATCAAAGCAGATTTGGTATCTAGTGAGGGCACTCATTCTGGTTTGCAGATGCTGTATCCTCACATGGAGGAGAGAAGGGGCTCTGGTCTCTTTCTCTTCTTACAATTGCAGTAAACCCATCATGGAGTCCCCATCCTCAAGGCCTCCTCTAAATCCACTTACTTTTCAAAGGTCCTGCCTCCAAATACCGTGACACTGGGCACTAGGGATTCAGCATATGAATCTGGGGGGAGGGCACAAACACTAGTCCAAGTACACCTCAAGAAAGAAGAATAGAGCTTTGGAGGAAAGGGGACCAGAGAAAGAAAGAGGAGAGAAAGGAAAGAAATCATGAAGAAGCACAAAGAAAGGGAAGGAAAACAAGGATGGGTTGAGGAGGGTGCAGTAGGAGTAGGAAAAGGAGGTTGGAGAAGCCCCAAAGTCAGGCTTTACCTCTCTTCCCTCCATCTTTGGACTAAATATAGCCCTATTCCCTCTGGATCTAAGGATGGTTTTGGAAGGCATGAAACAACTGCCAGGATGCTCCTGTGGCTATGACAAATGGATAACTAAACCAGAGGTCACTTAGGCTGGCATGAACTTAATCAGCGTTCTGCAACAAGCATTTCCGAGTGCCTGCCATCCACAGTCTCCTGAGTTCAATAACCACTGGCTAAGAATAGAAAAGACCAAACCTCATTCCATATGTTTTGTTCACCACTCTGTGGACATAAGAGGGTAATTTCCCAAATTCTCTAAGTCCCTCTCTGTTCTGTGCCTGAACACATGTTTCTCTAATCCTGGGGCTGGAGGATTTGAAGGAGGCTTAAAGATTGGCCTCCTTTGGTCCTTAAGTTGATAATGTCCATCCACAAATGCCTAGAGGCAGAGGTTCAACCGTGCCAGTTGTTAGTTATAACCTGATTTCAACTCTGCCTGACAAGTAGTAATACCTTCTTTTACAAATATAAAGAAATGAAGATACCTGGTATATTTTAAACATAGTTCCCCAGGCAGGTATTACTAGGTTCTTCTAACTTGTATTTTTAATCAGATCATAGGGTTTGCATTATATGTGTCCAGCCTTGGAAGCAGACCTGGGAACCCAGAGGCTTAACAATTTTAAACATATATTTTCCATGTGGTACTCCAGGATGAAACTGAAGATATTTTTAGGGTAATTTAGTTACAAAGAAATTGTAGTATCTAAGCTATGTATAGGAATCAAGAAACAAGTAAAAAATGTAAGCAGGCTTTTTGATCTTAATAGATTACTGATGTTACATGATTTGTGGTATAATTACTGCTTACAATTCTGATCTGAAATTGCTATTATTCCATGGCTTAATTAACATTAAAAAACTTAAGATAGCTTTCCTTACAAATATGATTCCTGTCCTAGAAGGATTTTCAATCTTACAAAGAAATAAAACAGGAGCAATGAGTTATTTGCCTGCAAAAAGATGCTCACAAGGATATCATTAGTCAGTGGTTTTTGACAGGGGTTATTTTACCCCTCAGGGGGTATTTGATAATGTCTGGACACATTTTTGATTGTTTAATCTGGGGGTGGAGCTGCTACCATCATCTAGTGGGCAGAGGCGAAGGTTGCTACTAAACGGTTACAGTACATAGCACAGCCCCCCGCCCCAACACGACAGAGAATTATCTATCTGGTCAACAACGCTAGTAGTGCTGAGGTTAAAAACCCCGGTCATAAATATGTGCAGAAGATACAACATGGACTAAATTAAGAAAAATCTAAGATGCTGGCCACAATTGTGGCTACCATCTCTTGGTTTTTCAGGGCTTCCCCCTCCCCTTTCAGCTTTCTATTGAAAATCATTTTAGACTTACAGATTGGGTAATCTTCAACTGTATTCCCTTAGTACTTGACACATGGGAGGCTTTGCTAAATGCTGAATGAAGTAAAGAATAAGGAAAGGGATGCATTAGGACCAGGTCCATTTACATTTTGCTTGGTTTCTTAGAAACATCCAGCAGTTTACCCCCTGTATCTGCCTGTGCCTTTGCTTCTGCTTGGCTTAGGTTGCTTAGTGCCAGTGGAATTGGTATCAGGGAGAGCACCTCCTGTTTAGACCCCTGATGAGCTTTGGGTCTTGAGAGACATCATTTCACACCCTAAACCTTACCCCCGCCATTGAGGACAATCCAATAGGCTATGACATAGTCAACAAATAGGAGTATATGTATATTCTGATTAAAACAGAAACCTTAGAAAGTAAAAGTCTTCCATAATTCTGATAAAAACTCAAGAACATAATGCTCATTTGTTAAATGTATATATTAACATATTAAAGATAAAACTGGAATTATAATTTTATGGTATGTTATACTGTTTCACAACTTGTATTTTCACTATACTATATTGTGGACATTCTTTGTTCCAGTTTGATGGGTAAATCAGTTAAAGTTGTTTGCAAAATAAGGATTATAGTATCCACTTACCTATTTCAGAGGCATTAGAAAGACTCAAAGATTTGGAAAGTATATGGAGTTTTTTTAGATGAAAATTATTGTGTGCCATGCTCTATTTTTAATTGATTATAACAATGTTGAATGATTTTTTTTTTTACTAGTTTCTTTTGAAGGGTTACTGAAATATTTTTTTAAACATTCTGAGTCCTCAGAAAGAAACTATCGTGGCTACATTAATATAGTTTGTGTAATATTTGTAGAATTTACTTGTCTTTTTTGTGTCTCCACAGGCAAATATGTGTATCAGCCTATGACCCCTGTGGAACAGCTTCCAAGCACCGAGATTCCTGCTAGGCCTCGGGAACCCACAAACACCATTCAGATCTCAGTCTCGCTCACCGAACATTTTTTGAAATTTGCATCTGTCTTCCAGCCTCCCCTTCCCCCTGACTCACCAAGGTACTGTATGATTTCAGACCTCTTTATTGACAACTATCAGGTTAAATGTATTAACGGGAAGATGTGTTATGTGCAGAAGCAGCCAGCGCCACATTCCCACAAAATGAGTCCTGAGGAGGTCTCTGCACACGATGCCTTAATTTCAAAAGAGAGCAATACACCAAAAATAGATCAGTGCTCTTCTCCCTCAAGTTCTGAGGACTCTGGGATCAATGCAATTGGGGCTCACTATGTGGAATCGTGTGATGAGGACACAGAAGAAGGAGCAGAACTGAGTTCAGAGGAAGATTACAGTCCAGAGAGCAGCTGGGAACCGGACGAGTGCACCCTTCTCTCCCCGTCGCAGTCTGATCTGGAAGTGATTGAAACAATAGAAACCACCGTGTGAGAGTCCAGGCAAGAAGCTGCAGCCTCTGATCCATGCTGAGCTTTTGTACCTTTGTCTGATGGATCCTTTTTTCCAATGCTGTTGATATTTTCTACCCCTCTTTAACAACCATAGCAGTTCGGTGGTCTGCTGATTAGTTTCACTTTTAAATTAGTCTTACAACTAAGACATTCTTTTTATTATAGTTTTCTTTTGTATCTTGACTTACTTTCTATGTAGCATCTGGTGTCATAAATTGTGACCCAGCCTTAATTTCACTGGGAACTTTGAAAGCAGTGAAGCAATGATCACAGAGTGTCATGGATCAGATTGAGGAGCTACCCAGAGTGAAGGACACAGTATTTCTAAGTAGCTGGTCCTTCGCAGAGAGACTCCTAGTATTCCTTTCAGCATGATCATGGGCACTTCTGTCCTGCTAATCCCATGTGGGAAGCCGCTCACTTGGGAGGAACAGAGTGTGCCCTGGCAGGTGCCATTTCTTCCTGCCTCCCCCTACCCAACACCTACACTGGGGCTGGACCAGAGCTGCCTCGGCTTACTTCTGGGAGATCACTGGAAGCCAGCACAGCCCCTGGTTGTGGCCAGTGTCTGCACAACACTCCATGACTGGGGCTGAGCTAGACCTTCACATAAGAAGAAACCTCATCTGTTTCGTGATCAATACAGTTTTAGCTGAGCACCTACACTTTGCAGGGTGCTAAGGGGGAGATACAGAATGAATAAGACCTGATTCCCACCACGAAGGGGCCCATAATCCAGCAGGGGATATGACACATGCAGTTACAGTACCCAAAATGCTCTGGGAACCCGGGGGAAGGTGAGATGTACTTGGCTTGGGCAAGCTGGGGAAGGTGTTACAGCATTTGAGCTGGCCTCTTGGGTGAGTTCCCCAACATTTCCCTGCTTTTCTTAATTATTATTCAAATCCGGGGAAAACTTTTAGGAAGTTACATAGGTATTATATTTAGGAGGCAGCCACATCTGAATTTTACAGGAAAAAAAAAAATCAATTAATAGTTTTAGTTAGCATGGAAATGCTAAAGACAGAAGTCCTTTAGGGATTAGGAATGAATCTAATAGGTTTGATTAATTCTGCTTCATTTGGTTGTATGAAGCATTAGAATGACTTGAGTGAGAAATGGATTAGAATTCAGTATGATGCATGGATTTTTTTATGCAAATGCAAAAAGAAAAGCAGTTGAAATAGTTCACTGCTAAGAGAAAATATTTTACATAGTATTCATTCATTTTACTATACTAATATCCATGGTCTGTTGTATATGTTCTCTTTTCTCACATGCACAAAATAGTGAATATTCTTTCTTATTTAGCTTTCTCCAGAATTCTACTCCTAATCTCCATTTATACCAGGTATTCTCATGTGAGTTGGTTATCTACCATTTCTTCAAATCTATCCATGAGGCATTAAGAATCCAGGAAAATTTAAATATGGCCAAATGAAATGAGAACCATCAATGTTGGAGTTAGAAAAATACTTCTAACTATCCATGAGCATGCTCTCTTGGCATTATCTTGTGCTCTGTCAGCATTGTGACACGTTTTCTATGTCACATTAATTTGTATCTGAAGAAACAAGAGGAGGCCCGGTTGTGTTTTTCCTTGAAGCCTCCATTTGGCATCCTTCACAAACTTCTCAAGGAAGAATCTGCTTTCCTAGTTGTACACATAGTTCAAGTCATTTACTAGAACTTTTTGTTAGGTTTAGGTGGCCAAAACATCCATAGGGGTTAGAAGGCAGAGTATGCATTTTCCTTTGCAGTGTTGGTTAAAACTTTCATTGCTAGATGACAATGCAGCATAAAGTTCCTACTTATTGAAATTTAAAGACTCAATAAGTCAAACCAAGACGGCGGTAAAAGCAACTCCTGGAACAAGGCAAAGGAGAGGACAGGTAGAGGCAAGTGTGGGCATAAGGGGCTTTCCCCTGCCATGGCATGGCCCAGGTGGCCCAGGGACATCTGATGAGCCCTGCCTGAGGTTCTCAGGCCCTCCCTTGAGTTAGTGGCCTGCTGTAGGCAGGCATGGAAGCCACGTGCCTGCAATCACCCATCATCAGGCTACAGCGGTGCAGTCACCCATCGTGTACTCAGGGTTGTAACAGCAACACCAGGGCCTGGTCTAGATTTACTCCATGGGTGAATTCATTGAATCCCCTGGGTGGGCATGTGGAGGGGCTTCTTTCTCTACACCGTTCCCATCAATGCTCTATTATGGGCCCACATTCCCACCCACTAAACTAATTGGAGTCAACAAGCAGGTTTCCAAAGCCATGGAAATACATGGTCACGGGGCCACATTTCTGAAACTTGGCTAACTGTCAAGGTTGGGCCCCTTTATCAATACTATCTATGACTTTGTCTAGGTTCCTGTTTTTTAAACTCCTGAACTGCCATTCAGATTAGCCACGATTTTAATGTAATTTTTGGATTTCACAATGGTTGATAATCACTTTAAATATTTGCACAATCTCTTTATAATTAAAAACTCACTAAGCTTCACTTACTACTGTCTATTGTATAGAATTGGAGATGTTCCATTGTGTTGTAAATATCATATACTCCTGGATCTCAAAACGGCCTTTTCTAAATAAGCACAAACAAGAATTCTTTTTTTGTCCTAGCACCGTTAATTCTCTGAAATATATGATTGAACTGGAATTGTTTCTTTATGCTTGCATTCCAAAATCAACTGATAAGGATATAAAAATGTGTAGTTTCAATTTAAATTCTAGGCCTATTCTGTTCTATATTCTATGAAAGAATTTTTCTGTAATGCTGATATTACATTACTGATTTGTATACACATATTTATAGGCACTTTAGAAAATGTTTAGACTGCGACTGCACTATAGACACTGAACACAGTCATATTAAATAGCCTTGTGATTAACACTTGCACATGGACACACATGAAAGCTTTATAATTTGGACCCAGTAGTGCGCTCACTGGAGCAAGAGTTGGGCTGTATGGATGGATAAATTTCTTTCTTAGGCTTTTGTGGAAACCTGGCACTGTTCCTACTTTTGGAAAGTTGGTATAAAAACTAGTAGGTAGAGCTTAAGAAAACTAAATTCCACATTTAGAATTATCTATCCAAGATTTATTTAGAATTTTCAAGTTTAAAGTATGCTCATAACTTTTCTGAGAAATGACAGGGCAGTTAAAAAAAATTCTTTTGAAGTTATTATAACTATTTAGTATATTAACAGAAAGTTTTATTATCAAATCTGGTATTTTTTACCTTTTAATTTTTAAGATGAGAATTTGAGGACAACCCTGAAGAACAACAGTTGCTTCCTTGGATGGGGAAGACTTGTAGTTCAAGGTAATATAATGCAAAACAAAACAAAAACAAAACCACCAAGAGCAGAACTACATAGTTTTTTTTTTGTGAAATACTTTTTCGATTTATCTTGGGACTAGTTTTATTTCTTCACTTCCACTTCCTGGTCTATTTGAAACACTGCAGTTCTTTTGGGATTGATCATAACAAACTCCTTGTGTGCAAATTTATTCTTTCCTTGGGTAACAGGGTGCAACTGGATAATTTAGAAAGCTGTCAAAATATCTAGATAAGTTTGGTGGTATAGATACTGCTAGGCAAGGAAAAAAGCACAAGTTAAAATAGTATTTGTTATCAGCTCTTAATTATTCCACATCTCATTTGCAAAATTTTATTGTGACGTTTTAACTTTTTACATGAGGAAGACTAAGTTTTAACAGTTTCCTTTCCTATCCCCTTCTCCAGAGGAGATGTGAAGCAGAATCAAGGAGGCCATTTATATTTTAGGCTTTTCAGTAGTTTGTGATTTTGTCTTTTCCCATTGAGGAGGAGGAAGAGGGGAGAAGGCAAGTGGGAATTCCACTAACTGTATCAGTGCTGTGAGTGTCAGGGATGTCAGTCTTTCTCACATCCAAACATAAACAACTTCTCAAAATTAATTTTGGGATTATTCACCATTTAAAAGTTTTGTCAGTGCTCCTTTTCATTACTATGGATAATTGGGAGTTGACTGTATTACAAAAGGGCCATATTTCAGTTAGTGCTGAGTTCTTTTTTTCTATTAAGATTGAAGCAGTGCTCTCTTAGCCTAAATACATCTGAAAGTGACCCATCACTAGCAATTTTAATATTAAGCTTCTATATTGTCTTCACATCATTTTTGAAGGCTGTTCATACCTTGCAATATTCACTTGCTGTGCTATTTTTTAAAAACTATTTTAAAGTTTTAAGCACAATGTTGATTCTTCTGTAATTTCTTAAAATTATATTGTTTTCCTACAGACAGCTCAACTTTCCTTTATGTATAATACTTTAGGAAAATACTGCCTTGTAAAATAAACGTGATTTTTCTTCTTTTGTATCAGAACAAATCTGTTTTAGAGTGTGGAGTACTGTTCCCCAACCCCAAAACAAAAACCCACATTTGCAAAATGTGAAACATTTATATCAAGGGTTTTATTATGTGCTAGGAAACAAGTAGTTTTATACCTATTATCCTATTTAAACTTTACATTACTTCATAAAATACTGGCAAACATTATCCACAATATATGCTCCTGGTCACCACTCAGGATAACTCTCAGAACTCTTTGTACTAAGAACTTTTTTGTTGGCTACATAGGGGTTATAGCAAATAAAATTCCCATTCCCCCACAAATAGCATTTATTTCACACACAGTTCCAGCCTTTATGTTTGTTTCCACATGCATGAAAGAAAGTGTATGGCCACAGCTCCAACTGCAGGCCAGGCAGTGAGGGAGGCTGCCGCCCTAGGGCCTGGGGGCACTGCGTCACTTGAGGGTCGCTGGTCACTGTGGCAGGTCAAGGAGTTGTGGTTTTTATTCAGCACACCCAGAAACGAGCAGCTTCTGTTGTTGGCTTCTATTGAACCACCTCACTAGGAACTGCTAAATACATTATTTATCAGCAATGATATCATTGTTAATATTAAGAATTAGAGTTTATCAGCTACTTTATTGCTTTCTAAGCAAGACCATCACAGCAGCACTAAGGGAAATTACAGCATCCCGTTTCACAGATTGGAAGAAGAGCTCAAGTAGTACATGTTTTTGCCCAAAGTGGCATAGCTCGTAAGCCAGTGGGAGTCGATATTTGAACCCAGTCACTCCAGCCAACACCTTCCCACAGGCCGGCAGCTCTCCCCAGACAGCACTGACACCACCAACAGGCTTCCCTCCTCACCCCCTTCTCCGTGCTCCTCACAGACCTCCTCCTCCCCCACACGCGCCTGGTCTCTGCAGACATCCCAGGGCCGTGGTAGGCCCTGCTGCTTACACGTTCGCTCACGTCTTGACCCGCGTTCGAGGCTGGCTGTCTGCCTTCACAAAAGACAACTGGTGTTTTAAAGTGACTCCTGCAGACAGCTAATCTCATCTGTGTGTGCACTCTACTAATTTAACGCTACATAATTGTATTGCCAAGTTCTGGAAGGCATCTCATTGTAGCCGCTTACAAATGCTGACTACACACTCTTTTATTCTGCAATAAACTTTAATTTAGCATCTCGTCCTCATTACAATTCAATCACCAGGAATTGGTAATGCCTTTAACACTTGGCGTGCCACCCCTTTCTGTGCGGAATGAAGGGAGCGGGGAGGACCTCTGGACTCAGTCTCGCAGCAGGGTTCAACACGGGGCTATTAGGGTCAGCCGGAATTCTTCAGGAATCAGAGATATGGGAAGGTGTTGGAAATACAAGTAAAAAATAAGGCAAAGTAAATACATGATGATATTGGTGGTGTTTTGTTTTGAATTTTCTAGTTTTCTAAGATGTATATATATTACTTTTATAATCAGGAACAACCCAGTAAGTTATTTTTAAGATGGCAAGTCCTAAGCCAGTGAGTGGAGCCTGATTTTGTTGGGTCTGTGAGTGGAGGTGGAGAGCCTGCGAGTCCAGGTGGCGGCCGCACGCCCCTGCCAGAGAGACTAAAGGCCGTGCTGGGGAGTGTGTGTCCTGGAACTAACTGGCCTCCACACACGAGTGGCCCCACTGAGGCAGCCAGCCATGGCTGGAGAGTTCCTGGGCCAGGCGGTTTGGAAAAAGAGGTGAGGACTTGTTTCTTCCCGTCTTTCTCAGTCCCTAGTCTAAAGCCCTGTGTGTGAGTCTCGATGGGAGATCAGAAAGCCTGGGCTCTGTGTGACACCTGGAGTATGAGACCCCAGATGATTTCTCCCAGGACAGAGATCTGGAGCATCAGTGCAAAATGATGACAAAATATGCAGCATCATGGATCAGTGAAACACCAGTGTCTGCACAGGGACCTATAGTTTACACAGCTTTTTCCCAGATGGCAGCTCACCTACCGTGCCCAGCAACTGTGTGTGGCGGGCAGGAAAGGGTGGGACAATTTTGCAGGTTTACAGTTGAAGCAGCCAAGAGTTTAGTTAACTATATCACATGGCAGGGAAGTACCAGGGCCAGCACCCCAAACTTCTGATTCCTACGGCAGCCTGTGTTACTCTCTCAACTTGTTGAGCTCCTGCAGTCAAACCCTGCCCTGCTTTGTAGCCTTTTTTCTCTCCTCCCCGAATCACTTCACACCCAGGCCCCGCCCAGGCCGGACCAGCATTGGTTTTAAGTGGGGGCATTGAGGGAACCACAGCTCAGCCCTCTGGGTATCACCTGAGGTCAGTGTTGGTGCCAGGTCACTCTGGCTTGGTGCCAGCCTGGCTTACCCTGGACTTGAGTCTGGTCCCCAGAACCTGACACTGCCTCAGGCTCAGGTGTGGCCCCTGGATCTAAGAAAGAACTCACCTTAGGAATTGGCCTCAGAATTGGCACTTTTGGAATCCGCTGCTCCTGTCTCCTCCCCCTCGCACCTCTGTTAGGGCTGGGACCCTTGATACCAACAGCTTCCCTCAACTGCATGTACTCGGTACCATGGACTGTAGGCTCATCTGGGGACAGTCTCCTCCAGGGCGCTGTAGGGACCTTGACTCTGATTAGTCTGCCGTGAACTCTACTTTGGAGGACTGTGTAGACACTGTCAGATTACCTTGCCATAAACATCTGAGATCTGCCTCAACCAGGGCCCTGTGCAGTAAACAAAGGGGTGGATTTCTGCCCTCATTTTAGAATCTGCCCATGTGAACTGTGATGCCAAAATTCACAAAGCACCTGCAGGCATGTCCATTTATCTGCAAAAGGGCCTGGAAAAGCCATCCCAGCCTGTGAGCAACACCAGTCTAAGCAGTCAGTCAGCTCAGGAGCCCTTGGGAAGAGCCAGGGGGCCACATGGTATCTGGAGGGCAGGTCCCCGAGACCTGGGTGTGAGTTGCATAGGGGATCCAGGGCCCGTGTTAGCCAGGAATCTGGAATGAGGGGTTCTAGCATAATGTAGAGGCTGCACTGAGTATATGGGGAAGACGACAAGGATTTGAGTTTCTTTTTATTTTGGCATATTATGGGGGTACAGATTTTAAGGTTTCAATAGATGCCCATTCCCCCCCTCCCCCGCCAAGTCTGAGTCTCCCAGCCATGACCATCCCCCAGATGGGCAACATCCACCATATAATGATAACACCCTCCCCTCTCACCTGCAATTACTCCTAATTACTGTATACTATGCTCCACTTAGGTGGCGCTCAGTTATACAATTTTGCTGTAGTAATATGGTGGTGCTTGTTTTTCCATTCTTGGGAAACTTCACTTATAGATGGGTTCAGCTCTAACCAGGAAAATCTAAGATGTGCTATATCACCATTGTTCTATTTCAGTCCCACCCACATTAGAGTGTTCCTCTCTCGCATCCCGCCAGCATTTATTGTTGGACTTTTGATAAAGGCCATTCCACTGGTTAAGTGTACGTCCTCATTGTGGTTTTATTTGCATTTCCCTGATGATTAGAGATGGAGCATTTTCAAATATGTTCCGTTGGCATTCTCTGTCTCTCTTTAAAAGTGTTCTGTTCAAGTCCTTTGGCCACTTTTAATAGGGTTATTTGATTTTTCTGGTCTGATTTTCATGCGAGTTCTAAGTATATCTAGTTACTCAGTCCATTATCGGGATCATTAGATGCAAAAATTTTCTCCCATTCTGAGGTTGTCTGTTTACTATCGTGACTCATTTCCTTTGCTGTGCTAGAAGCCTTAGTGTCATCATGTCCCAGTTTATTTTATTTTTGTTGCCTGCTGTGATTGCGTTTGGGACTTCTTCATAAACTCTTGCCCAGGCCGATGTCTGTGAAGTGTTCCAACTTTTCCTCAGAATCTCTAATAGTTTCATACCGTTAGGTTTAAATCTACTTATCCCAGCGTGACTTGGTTTTTTGTGAGAGGTGAAAGTGGGTCTCGTTTAGCTTCTAGCCAGGTGGCTATCCAGTTTCCCAGCACCAATCTTATAAAAGGAATTTTCCCCAGGTATGTTTTGTCTCTTTGGCAAAGATTAGATGGCTATATGAGGGAATAATTTTATATCAGGATTCTCCAGATCTGTCCACTGGTCAATATTTCTATTTGTGCAATACCATATTGATTAATTACTACAGCTTTGTAGTATAGTTGATATCTGGCATATTAATGCCTCCCATTTTGTTTTTGGCCTAGAATTGCTTTTGATTTCAGGGTCTTCTTTGGTTCCATATGAAGCGAAAATTAATTTTTCTATATGTGTGAAGAATGCTGATAGGATTTTAATAGGTATTGCATTGAATCTGTAAACAGTTTGGGTATATAGACATTTAATGATGTGAGTCTGCCGATCCACAAGCATGGTAGGATTCCATCCGTTTACATCCTCTGCTATTTCCTTCCTCAGTGTTTCATAGTTCTCCCTGTAGAGGTCTTTACGTCCTGTTAAGTATATTCTAGGTACTTAATTCTTTGTTGCTATTGTGAGGAATTGAGTCTTTGATTTGGTTCTCAATAGATTGTTGTTGGCGTATATGAATGCTCTGATTCTGTGTATTGATTTTGTATCCTGAGACTTTACTAAATTCATTGATCAGTTCCAGGAGTTTCTGGTTGAATCTTTGGGGTTTTCTAGATATAATATCATATCATCACAAACAGTGAACGTTTGATCTCTTGCCCCTATTAGATACCTTTAACCATTTTCCTGTCTGATTGCTGTAGCCAGGACTTCCAGCACTATGTTGAACAGAAGTGGAGATAGTGGGCAGCCTTGTCTGGTTCCAGTTCTAAGTGGGAATGATTTCAATCTTTCCCCATTCAGTATGATGTTGGCTATGGGTCTGTCATATATGGCTTGCATCATTTTTAGGTTTGTCCCTTCTATGCCTATTTTCTTAAGTGTTCGTATCATGAAAGGGTGTTGAATTTTGTCAAAAGCTTTTTCTGCATCTATTGAAAGAATCATGTGGTCTTTGTTTTTGCTTCTGTTTA